CACATCCACAGGCATCCGCAGCAGCACCCGGGCCCCATGAGCACTGTGGGAGCAACCCCCCCCCCGCCCCTGTGCTCTCCAGCCCCAGGGTTTGGCTGGCAGCGCTCTGGCAAACGAGTCCTTGGCTCACCTTGAAACAGCACTGCACCAGGAGAGCAACGGACGTGATGAGGGTCAGTAACAGCGAGAGCGCCAGCACCGGCGGCAGCCAGCGGTCAAAGGTGTGATTGGCCATCTCCTGGGAGAAAAGGAGAGTGCATCAGGGAGGAGAGGAGCGGGGAGGGAAGGGAGGCCCCTTCCATACCCCACTGCCCAGACACACACATGCAGCCATGCCCCGTTCTCTCCTACCGTCTCTGCAGATTCACTGCCCATCTCCCCGGCCTGGACTTGGGCATGGGGACGAGAGGTGCCGGCATCCTCCTCCCGCACACACTGCTCAAGGAGGTCAGAGGGCTCCGGGTCATGCTGCCTCTCACTCAGCAGCTTCAGGAGCAGCTCCGTCCTCGAGACCATCTCGGCGCAGGCCTGCTGGAGCTGGGGCAGGCCACAGTCCTCGCGCAGGGCTCGAGCCACCTGTGCCATGAACCTGCGCAGGGCTCCATCTGGCACCAGAGAGTGCAGGTGGCGGCTGAGCAGGGTGTCAAAGGGGGGTCCTCGCGTGGCCGCGCCACCCGGGGCGCTGGAGCTGCCCTGTGCCGTTGGGCTCGGGGGTTCCTGCTCCTTGTGATGCTCCTTGGGCTGCTGTGTGGTGGTGCTTGCAGGGGCAGTGGGTGGTCTCCCGCCTAGAGAGGAATGCTCTGCTGCAGCCGTGTCCTCTGGTGTGCTGCTGGCAGCAGGGGGGCCGTTTTTAGCCAGCAGAGCATAGAAGAAATGCTGGATAGTGCTCAGTCTCTGCTCTGCTCTACCCTCTGCTGCTGCGGGCTCTTCTTCTGCACCCTCGCTGCCCACTGTCCCATCGCTGTCCTGCTGCTTCTGCTCCTCATCTGTCCCAGCAGAGTCCTGTGTTGGGGATGGTGCTTCCTCCTCATCTTCTGCACTATCCTCATTCTCCATCCTATCAGGCGTGTTGGTCTGCCCCATGGCGTCGGAATGATCCTGACTCTCGCCAGACCGGTCGAGATTTGGGTCCTCTGTTGGGTATTGTGCAGGGGGCTGTGCTGCAGGAGGGCTGGGTGTTCTCTGGTGACTAGAGACTGGGAGGACGTCGCTGAGGTTCATGCTCCGCACTGCTTCCCGTAAGATGGACTCTGCGCGGGTCAAGCCTAAGCCCGGCTCCTGTTTCTGCCAGTGTATGGCTCTTCCTCCCTCCCCTACTGCCACCTCGTGCCCCTTGTCCCTCTGCGCTGGCCGGGCTGTGCTGGGGCTTTTCACAGTCAGGATGCTCATGGCCTTGTGCAGCTTGTTCTTTAGCTGTGCCACGAGCCCCTCTGCTAGGAAATAGAGCCTCCTGGTGTCGATAGAGCCGCTCCAGCCCCTGTGCTGAATGCTCCGCAGCATCAGCGTCAGCTCCTTGGCGATGTTGCCCTCCTGCCTCGAGAGCTGCTGAGGGGAAGGTGCTGATGCATCGGGGCTGCTCAGGCTCCGGGCAACTGTGAGCGTGACGGTTCTCTGCTCCCTGAGTGAAGGCTCCTTAGGCTGGAGATTCAACACGGACCTGCTGTTCCCTTTCTTGGGGGGCACCGGTCCCATTAGGAGCCCTGGTGTCTCTGCCAGGGGAGCTGTAACACACCAAGAGCACTTCAGTGACAAAGAGCTTTCTGCCAGACAAAGGCTCAGAAGGTTCACTATAGCTGGGGGACATGGGCAGGGCTGTGGGCCAGTTACCGCAGCGGGGAACAGTGCTGTTGCACACGCTCATGCAGTCGAAGCTGAGGGTCCTGCACGGGGTCACAGTGCTGTGCTTGTGCTGGCAGAGGCAGCAGGCCGTGTCGATGGACAGCTTGCTAAAGAACAGAGGTTGTGCACAAACACTCAGCATCGCGACCCAGGGCAGTGACTCCAACCCAGGTGGCGCACAGAAACGCCTCAGGGTCTGCTTCAGTGTCTGCTGCAGCTCTGAGAAACTTCCCCTCGCTCCCTGTGTCCCAATGGACACTTTTGTGCTGCTGGGTTTGTTCCCCACACAGACCCTCTGTCCCAGCAGCTGGGATCTGCTGGAGGTGGGAGCCAGCCACCGCACACTCACAGTGTTTCCAAGCGGGATGTTCTCAGGAGCAGCATGAGCAGCGTCTGCCGAGTCACTCGTGTGGCACCCAGGTCCCTGCAAGGGTTTCAAGAAACACATTACATTTGAGGTGGCGGCACCAGCCTCTGCTCCGGGAACAAGCCCAGTCCCTGCGGCTTGCTGTGCCGGCCGCAGGGGGGGATCTGCTGCTACCTAATCCAGGAGAAAAGACGGAAAACCGTCTCTCTTTCCTGCTGTGCCCTGCTCCCACCCATGGGTCTGAACCAGAAGGGATCCTGCAGATCCCATGGGAGATGGATGCAGACAAGTTCGAGTCCGTGTCCCAGCACCGTGCTGGCTTTGCAGACGGGACACACCAGGACTGCTCAGCCTTTGCCTGGCTCTGCCGCTGCCTCCAGCAGGAGAAGGGTGGGAGAAGGGTGGGATTTGCTGCTGGATCTCTGCTTTCCTGGCCATGGGGCACCCAGAGACACAAAGAAAGATCCACGGTAAGCCGTTAACAAGGAGTCCGTACTTACAGGTGAGTGACTGAAGGCAGCTTGAAGAACCACGTGTCCTCGATAACAGACAGGGGGTTATGGCGCAGGACCCTGAAATGAACCAACACCCCATGTGAGCGGGGGGTGCAGGATGAGAGCGGTGGCAGGGGCTCAGTGCTGCGTGTGTGAGGAAGGGCCTGGGGTGAAGGTTCCGAGCCTGAGCTGAAGGTTACAAGCTGGGGTAGATGCTGATGGGCAGATTCACAACATACATCAGGTCCTGACTATCTCCAGCCCAGAGAGCGAAAGCCCAGAAGTGCTGCTTCTGGAAAACACAACATCTCTTTCTTTCCTCCTCAGCTCACACTTTCTGGTGGCTTCCCTCCAACAGGACTTTCCCTATTTCTCACATTCCCACTGTCCCTGAGCGTTGTCTCTGGTCCTGCACCCAGCCAGGCAAAGGCGTGGCCTGACAGAGTTGTCATTCAGCATTGATGCTGCTGCCTACTGGGGGTAAGAGGTAAGCAGAACACAGTGACAAGTGCCACTGCTCTGAGCTACCCTTAGACCTTGGAACACTCACAGCGTCTGGAGGAACTGCATCCCGTGCCATGCCCGGAAGGTGTCGCTCCGGATCTGAGTGATGAGATTTCCCTCCAGGCTTCTGGGGAAACAGGAGACCGCAGAAATGAATTGGGTCTGAGCCACAGGAAGCTGGAGAGAAGCAGCACTGATTTGTAGGAAACAGCCCCATCCAAGGTGGAACTGGGGGGAAACTGCCATTTTCTCTCCTGCTGTTTGTTAACCTGTCCAGGAGAGGAGATGAAGTGCATGCGTGCTGCATCTCTGCCTGCTCCAGGACACAGCAAGACTCAAGACACAGCTTCTATTCCTGCTGTGTTTGCAGAAGCCATGGCCCCATCCTGGCATGGCCACCAGCCACTCCCTGAGCTCCTGAGCTCGGCTGCTCCTTCAGCAGGAGAAACCGGAGGCCTTCTTCTAAAAATAACTGGAGCTTTTTCCAGCACCAGAAGGTTCTAAATGCAACCAGGCTTCACCAACCACACCAGGAAGGAACTCCCATAACTCACATGGTCTCCAGGAAAGGAAGGTTCTCAAAAGCACACGCCTCGATCAACTGGATTTTGTTGTAAGATAAATCCCTGTTAACAGGAGAACACAAAACGCTGGTGACATTTGCCCTGTCCCGGTTCCTCTCAGGTGCTTTGACATTGGCGGCACAGACGTGCCATCGCTCTCATTTCACGTGGGGTTTCTCTCCTGCACTGGCTTGCAGTGGTGTGTAACCGGAGGTCACGCTCCTGACGGGGGTGGCTGCAGCTCAGAGAGGTTCTCCCAGCTCTGATCCCACCAGGGGTATTTCAGGGCTGATTTTCCTCTGGTAACAGAGCAGGTCCTTTATGCACGCCCCAAGAGCACCTCTTGAGTGAGGCCTCAGGGACAGGCTGTAACGCCCTGTGTGACCAACATGGGGCTATTGCCCTTAGCTGCTAAACGTCACCTCCCTGCGCAGCCCTGCTCTGATGTGCGCAGGAGTCCTCTGGCCTGGCTCTAGAAACCAAAAGGTTCCTTGTCCCAGCCTGAACTCGCTGCCTGGGGGGCTTGTTCTGCAGCAAACAAGGAGAGAAGAACCTTTGTGGGGAGCGTTTCATGGCCTGCTCAGCCAGAGTCCCCACCCCATCGTGAGGGTGAATGGAAAGTGCCTGCTCCTCTCCACAGGCGATGAAGCTGCACCATGAGCTCACTCCAAGGCAGCTCTGGGGCATCCGAGCTGAGAGGAGACGAATGCACAAGGTTTGCCCTGGAGGAGGCGGCCTCGTGCAGGTCTGTGCAGGGAAAGGGCAGCAGCCACCTGCTCCTGCTCGGCCGTGGGGCAATGGGAGTGCAGCGCGTCCCTGCGGAGCCCGCCCCTGCACCAAGAACCTGCTCTGCTCTGGCTGCAGCCGGGATACCCGCAGGAATAAAGCCGTTCCTGGGGCGGACTGTAGAGCAGCAGGGCCAGGGCAGGGGGGAGGCCGTGCCCACCACCATGGACAGGGGGGTACTTACAGGTGCCTCAGCAGGAGCAGTCCCCCCAGCGAGCGCCTCTTCACGGCCAGCAGGTTGTTGTGCTGGAGGACTCTGCAAGAGACAGACGAACACGAACGGTGGCACCCGCGGCTCTCGGGTGCAATGGAGCTGTTAGGGGAGCAACCCTGCAGCAGTGTCACTGCGGCATCTCTCCGGGTCCCGCCACGACTCATCACGCTCATGGCAGGAGCAGGGGCTTGCTCCCAGCCTGCTGACCCTGACTGCAGCCCGAGCACGGGTTCCACAGGCCCAGGGATGGCCCCGGTTGGCAGGAGGTACACAGCCCAGGGCCCTGCTCGCCACGGAACAGCTCTGGGGACTCACACAGCTCCTTGCTGAGCAGCTCGGCCTTGGCTGCACGTGGCAAGCACTGGTGCGGTGCTCGGCACAGCCTCGGCTCGGCAGCCCGGCGGAGGGATGGGGATCCCGGAACCCCTGTGCCATGTCCGATACTGGTGGATACTCACAGCTTCTCAGCCCACAGGTATCCCTTCCACGGCTGAGGGCGAATGAGGGCGAGCGCGTTCCCAGTGAAATCCCTGCGGAGAAGCCATTGGCAGCGTCACCCCCAGCACAAACCCTTCCCCTGCCCCAGGGCTGCGGGGTGGCCGTGAGGCCGGCCTGGAGCTGCCCCCTCGGCGCTGCCCATCAGCCCTCCACAGGCAGCGTGTCCCTGGAGCCGCTCTCGGGGTGTCCGGGGCAGCGCCCGGAGCTGCAGGGCACTCACAGCACGGAGAAGGGCCGTTGGGGGGTGGCCAGGGGCACGCGGGCCAGGGCAGCGCTGCTGCAGTCCAGGCGGCGCCCGCGGCAGCGGCAGGGCCCCGGGCAGGGCCCCAGGGGCCGGGCCAGGCCGGGGGCCAGGCCCAGCAGCAGCAGCACCAGCAGCAGCGGTGCCATAGCGACACAGGGCCTGAGCGCCTTTGGTACCACACGAGGCTCAAGGCTGGGGATCCAAACCAGGAGCTCTCGTCTGCGACCAGCAGCGGATCTGGCGCTGTGCTGGCCCTGCTGGGCAGATACAGCCCGGGACACCTCACACCTCACAATGGGGCCTCGCCGCAGGAGTTTCATCGGCCGGGCCTGCGAGCGTGCGTCCCCACTGTGACATGGGACAATCCCCTGCCGTTGGAGCTGGTCGCTCTGCCCCACCTGGGGCGTGTTACAGACCAGCACATCTACGCGTGCAGCACGTGTGCGTTCAGTACGTGTTTGTGCAGTCTGTGCGCGTCTGCCACGCGTGTGTGCTGGGTGCTCTCTGAAGGCAAGGGAAATCGGCTCGTCCCAGAACGATGTGTCCTCACTGGAAAAGCTTGACTCGGATCTGGCATCACTGAAAGGACAGCAGGGACGTAACAGCAATGACATAACAGCCGTTGGGGAGGGGGTTGGAACTGCATGAACTGAAGGCGGGGCCTTCATCGCCTCCTTCGCACTTACGACCACCTTGTACAAGCCTGACACCTCACCAGCAGTGGACTGAGCCAGGGCCACCTCCCCGCGGGGCAGGGATAGGAGCGGTGGGAAGCAGGCATGGGGCAGGGAGCAGGCAGAGACGCGGAGCTGTTGCCTGCTCCTGCCCGTACCTCATCCTCGTCCCTGTCTGTGTCCTTGCTCCTGCTGCACCACTTGGGCCAGACTCAGGGGCTAAGACTCAGAGGCTGAGACTCTGTGGCTGAAACGGTGGCTGAGACTCTGGGCCTCAGGCTTTGGAGCTGATACTCTCAGACTCAGACTCTGCGGCTGAGACTGCTGCTGAAAGTCTATGGCTAACACTCTGGGGTTCAGACTTTGGGGCTCAGACTGGGGCTGAGACTCTGTGGCTCTGACTCTGGGTCTCAGACTTTGAATGTCAGACTCTGTGACAGAGACTGTAATATAGACTCTGTGGCTGAGACTGTAGCTGAGACTCTGGTGCTCAGGTTTTGGAGCTGAGACTCTCAGCCTCAGACCCTGTGGCTGAGACTGTTGCTGAGACCGTGGGGCTGGGTCTCTGGGGCTGAGACTGTGGGGATGAGACTCTGTGGCTGAGACTGTGGGGCTAAGACTGTGGGGCTGTGTGGGGGTCGGAATGTATCAAAACTGTCAGAGACCATGGGAAGGAGGAACTACAGCAGGCAATTAAGAGCGAGCCGTCCCTGACTGGTACTTGGAAGTTGTTGGAACTGGCAAGGAACGAGGATGTCAGAACTGGAAAGAGGGGAGTGCGCATGCTTTTGGAGGAGCAACCCCCATGCACCTCAGCTGAATAAAGCATACCTACTTTACAACTCTAAGGAGTTGGAGTCAATCCACGTATCACTTTCACCTGATGTAACTGCAAGGCAAACACAGATGTGCTCTGCTAATTGCTTGGAAGCATATAAATATTGTGTAAGCTTTGCAATAAACGATCCAGCTTGCACTCTACCTCTGGGTCCGTGCCTCCGTCCTCACAGGGCTGAGACTGTGGTGGTCAGATTTTGGAACATACTCTGGCTGAGACTCACAAATGAGGACTCTGGCACTGAGACTCGGGCTACGACTGTAGGTCTGAGACTCGGGCTAAGACTCTTGGGCTGGGACTGTGGGGCTGAGACTGTGGGGCTGAGACTCTGGGCCTCAGACTTAGGAGCTGAACACTGTCCTGGGTTCAGCAGTAGCAGTCACTTTTTCTCCTTAGTAGCTGGTGCAGCGCTGTGTTTTTGACTTTCAGCCTGGGAGCAGTAATGCAAAAAGATTTAACCAATGTACAGGAAGGGGTAGTGTTAAGCCGCTTGCTTAACGATGTTAATGCTTGCCCATACTCCACAAACATTTTTCATGCTCATTATGCTGTGCTAGAACAGGATGGGAGGACACGGCTACTGGTAAGAGGAAGGAACAGTAACCTGGCTCCTGCTTTCTGGGTCCTGAAACCGGCTAGAGCCAGCTTTGTGGTTTGGACAATGACCAAGTCACCAGGGAGCATGAGCAACTATTAGAGGTAGAAAGTTTAAGCAGAGGAAGAGTCATTGACTTCATCTTGAGACCCTCACCCACGACCACCGGGAGTTACTGCGCAGCCGCAAAGGACCTTTTAGCTCATTATAATACGAAGCAGGGATAGGACATGAATATGTATAGGCATGTTGTGTAACCTAATACGTACGTATAATTTTAGAGAATAAATAAGGGGAGAAACGAGGTTGCAGCGGGCATGCCTTTGGAGGAACGATCCCCCATGCGTCTCAGCGCTGAATAAAGCATACCTACTTTACAAGTTTAACGAGTTGTGGAGTCTATCCCATTATCACTTTGGTGAGCCAGGCAGGAGACATCTGTTCAGCTGAAGGATCAGCTTAGGGGAGACATCCTAGGCACCCCAGGCAGCTTGCCTGGAGGAGCTCCGCTTTTCATCCGCTCACTGCGGGGGCAGACAACAACCTGTGCCGGCTGCGGAGAAACGGTATGCGTGGGATTTAGGTTTGTAATTTAGAGGGCCTATAAGTCGTACGCTTGGCCTGGGGCTGCTGGTAAGGCACGCAGAGACATCTGGCGCGCAGCGTAGTTCCCCTTGGCAGATGGGGCTTGCAAGCAGGTTGGGGACTCGTCGACCGATAGAGCGGCTGCTAGCGATCCTGAAGGTGGATCGGGTGAGTCCAGGGACTCGTTGGCCGATAGGGCAGCGTAACCAGGCGAGAACTGGGAGGGCTTATAGTTGAAGTGGGATAAGCTTTCCCTGCTGACAGCCTCCCTGGGGAGTTCTTGACTTCCTGTCTAGCCCTGTGCTGGTGGCAGGACCTGGTATCACACCATCCTCAACAGTCACTCCCAGCTTCTTTCCACCATGGATCCTGAAGCTGGCAGCTTTCTTTGGGCTCCTCTTCTCTCCTGTGAGGAGCAAGGGTGCACAGGCACTTTGATAACCAGGGGGATGTTTCTCTAAGCTCGATAATTTTGCCACCTTCCCTCCCTCCTCTGTGAAGTTGCTCTTGGTCACACTCCAGCACTTGAGACATGAGCCACGAGCCACAGCGATGAGCCAGCCAGAGCTACAAGTCCTGTGCTGAAGCTGAGCACAGCTGTTGATTTTTCACCCTGGGGCTGGTATGCAGAGAACCTTACAGCATCTCTTCTCTCCCCATTCACGGCAGGTTCGGGCGGATGGGACAAATGGAAACTGAGTCACGTCTGTTTTTCCCGATGGGGACCACACGCTTGGCAATGCCCTCCACTACATGGTTGTGAGGTAAGTGGAGTCACTACAGCCCCTGGTACCACTGGAGGTTCCTCTGTCTCCTGTTCTGCCCTTCTTCACTAAGTTGCATCTCAGTTGCTGCTGGAACAAGGCAAAACTACCTCTGTGCATGCTTGTTGGAGAATTTATATCAGAGCTCATGCCAGAGGCTCCTTACCTACCCCCTCCCTTAACAGGATTCACTTTCTCCTTGTGCTGTTAGCCCTGAGAGCGCTAATAGGCCTTGATGAGTATGACCAGCCTCACCTGGGGCCTCCACACACACCCTGCCCACAGGCTCAGGAACCCCATTTAAGCTTTCAGTCCCTCCTGGGCTGTGTTGTATCTATATGGGTCTTCAGCTCAGCTGTTGGATGCTGACCCATGGGCTGACTTCCTGACCCAACATCAGCCTCTCCTCAATGTTGTACATTGTACATCTGCTTGGTGCTCATAGGTTTTGTCTGACCCTCTTTACCCTCACCCGACCTGCAGGTTGTCTTCCTGGCCCGGCCTCGCACCTATTTCACCCCCACAAACCTGCCTGGTGACCTGGACCCTTGGCTGGCCCTGGCTACCACCTTTGCACCTTTGTTCATGCTCCCAGCTCCCCGTCCCGTAAGGAACAGCCAGCCCTCGCTGCTCTGATGGTTAGTAGAGAGGAAATGGAATGGCAGACATGTGACAGATTTCTGAATGTCTTACGTGGCTCTGGGTAAAATGATGTGCAACTCTGTAAGTACAGGTGGTCAGGCAGTACCTATGTCGCCTTCTGGGGCAAGTGCTGTCAGAAAAGAGGGTAGGAACAGCCAGTATTAAGCAAATTGATCCCCTTTAATGCTTCCATCAAGATGCAGGAATTGGTGCTGGAAATTAGTAATCCTGCTGCCCCCATTAAAATATACAAATGCCTTCACTGGTTTTATCCAGCTGGGAGGCACTGGGGGTTTGTGAAGACTCACTGGGAAGGCTCAGAAGAATTCCAGCAGGAAGTTCAATGCACCATCTCAAATGACAGTCGCATTGCAAATGCTGTGTGAATTCCTCTGATGTCTCACCATGACAAGAAAAAGAGCAGCCTTCTTGTGAGGGGCTGTGCTTTCTGCTGTGTGCGCAAATGTTCTACCAACCACCTCGGCTTGTGAAGGCAGATGTCATGCAGTCTGCAAACATCTTGTGGTGCCCTAGACGCATCTGCCTCCTTTGCCCAGCAGAATTGCAACAGGTCTGTGTGGAGGGAGGTTTCCACGCAGCCAGGATCCCCTGTTTGACCAGGGTGCCAGCCAGGTCTTTCCCCTGCCAAGTTCCAGCTGCAGCTCAGAGATAGATGGAAGGGTGTGAATAAGGTTACAGGGGGAGTGTCCTTTGAGCACATCCCTCCCATAAGACCCTCAGTCATATTAGAAACGTCCTGAGCCCCAGCAGGTCTGGGGTGGCCCAAGCCTCTGACTTCCCTGAGATTTGCTGTGGATTGGCCTGGGTTTTACTGCTCTCTTCTCCTCTCGCCCTTCCTGCAGCCCTGATGCGGAGTTCTGTGGCTACTGTATCACACACCCCTCTGAAAGCAAGATCAGCTTCCGGATCCAGACCAGAGGTATGGGGTGTGCATTGCTTTGACGTTCAGGGCCCTTCCTTTGTGGAATCCCCTCTGTTCACGTCAGGTTTCCACCATGAGTCATTTCAATAAAGAAAACCACTCTTCTCCCTCTTCTCTGCAGGCACGGTACTGCAGTGCCGGGGTAAGGTGGATCTGCTAAGTCCGGTCAGGGGTGATGGGTGCTTCACCTGCCCCTAAATCAGCAGAAGATTTGGAAAGCCAACCCAAAGGGTGCTGACATACATAGCTGCGGTGAGAATTTGCTTCTGCTTCTTCTT